GTTGGCCAGTGACGGGGTGGCCCAAGCGGGCACTGGGCAGACGCGGGCACCGAGGTGGCCCCGGAGGGGACAGGGATGTCCCCGAGGTGACACCAGCGTTGGCACCAAACCCTGGGAATGGGCATGGATCCTGCCAGTAAAGCCAATGGAGGGGGTACCTGGCGGGGCGGTGGCTGGGGACATCTCGGGGTGTCCCCTGGGGTCGGGGCATCCAGGATGGGGGGATCTGTGTATTCTTTGTATGAAAATAAATCTATTTAGCCAATATTTATACCCCATCACTGTGGTCTGGTCCCCACCTCCCAGCTCTGCCCCCAGCACCGATGTCCCTGGGTGTGTGATATCCCCAGGGTGGTGGCTCGGTCGTCCTAGACCCCTGAGCTCAGTGTGTCACCCTTTTTCCCGTGACATGTCCCAGCAGTGTGGAACACCCGGGTGGGGCGTGGTTTTGGGGCTGGGATGTGTGTGCTGTGGCTGGCAGGGTGATCCAGGGAGGGGACACAGGACACAGACCATGGGACACAGGGCCAAGGGGACACAGGCTATGAGGCAGAGGGATGGGAGACACAGGGCATAGGGGTGTGGGGACACAGGAACAATGGATACAGCACCGTGGGGACACAGGACACAGTGCTGTGGGGACATAGGGTCATGGGGACAGAGAGCTATGGGGACATGGGACACAGGGACATGGGACACAAGGACATGGGGACACACAGCTATGGGGATGCAGGGGCATTGGCCATGGGAACATACAACCATGGGGACATAGGACACAGGGCCATGGGGACACAGGGCCATGGGGACAGGGGACATGGGGCCATGAGGACACAGCGCCATGGGGACAGAGGGATATGAGGCCACGGGACGCTGGGCCACGGCGACACCAGACACGGCAGAGGGCGGGGCTGTGCAACAGCGAAACCCGCCCTCCGCGCTGCCTGTCCCCGCCCCCTTCCCTTTCATTGGCTACCTACATTGTCCCCTCCTCCGGACGCCGCTTCCCATTGGCTGGCAAGCCGTCTGTGGCGGGGCGGACCGGAAGTGCCGGTGTGTGGCGGCGTCGCTCTGGGCCGCGCTCCGCGCGTGTCTGT